CACCCAAGCCTTCCTTTTTGGGGGGGGTCGCCGAAGTCCGTCAAGAACGACGCACCGCTTCGCCGTCCGCCACGCCGCTTCGCCTCGCGTCACTCGCTTCACTCGCCCGTGCGCCTCGAGGCCCGAAGCACCAGTCCGGCTGCATCGCCAAGCGGCTCGGCTGCCGCAGGATCATCGCCTCCGAGCCGCGGTCGGTCGGGGGGACCGGCCGGGACCGGCCGGCCGGCTGTTGGTCTGGGATGGGACCGGCCGGCCAGCGACGGAGAGCACGGTGCATTTGCCCCTACTAAGTCGTCAGTCAGCTTGACCTGGGCCTTACTGGAGATGCTCCTACAAAAGCAAGTACTGGAGATGGAGGTCAAAGACCAGGTCTAAGTGGGTCGGACTGGACTTCTATAGGGATTGGTCATTGGTCCAAAGGGTCGCACGTTGAAGTGCGCTCCCTTCTCAAACAAGGTCTTCGGCCACCGTTTTTCCATCCGCCCCTATGTAGAAGGAGATCATGTTCTATACCCGAAGAGCCTTGAAGTCTGCTGGTGCATGAGGTATACAAATGTTGGGTATATCGGTATATCCTATATTACGTTAGGGCCCAGTGGATGATTTGGCCTTTGGTTTGTAGGCCTTTCCATCTCTCAAATAGTGATTTACGACCCGACAGACCCAACGGCTCTATATAGAGGTAATGGGACAGACCCAAAGTCCTTCATCCCATCCTTGAGAGGATCCATCTCGGGCCATGCCCTTCTAACATCTCCCCTGTCTGTATGGTGCTCTGCTAGGTGCTCTGTGTGGGGGGTACCATCTGATAGTACAAACTCATCGGTGGTTTGAGAAGCACCCTATGTTCATTCGTTCGGACGATCGCGACACCAATCAGTGCAGGTCGAAATGGCTTACAATCCGTTCTGGACTGTTTGGGGATAAATCGAAACAAAGCACCCTCCATCCGGCGGCTTCTTTTCGGACGGCCATGGGGTTGACTCCCGTGCCAAGGGAATCTGATGCAAGAAAACACAACGACATGCAACGACTATATGTATTGTTCACAGAACATGGGCCTCTTGAGAACATTGCTTTGAGGAACCACCCGCTTGAAACAGGCAAACGCGGTCTCTGCTGGAGAACTCCACTAAGTTCCCCACCGCCATCGAAAAGCAAACAGTACGAAGCACAAACATAACAGTGTCTCCAATCACCGTACCTGACAAGGTACTTGGATCCCTAAATACGGATGTGTTGCAGCCACACAGACATGCGACGTTTTGTTGCAGTGACAAACCCCATGGATGTGCGTCGAAGCGTAGGCCACCCGGGACACTTTTCGGTCAACACCGGACGACAAGGCCGATCGAAACCCATCCTCGTACGACCGGATCAAGGGGGCTCCCATGGATCAAGGGCTTCAGGTTCTTCAATTCGCCTGTCAAAAACACCTATACCCTAGACTTCCAAGACCATTAAAAACATGGTTGACCTGGTTTTTGTAGTCTAAAATCCTTAGTTGATTTGGTAACGCCTATTAAATTAATGGTGGTTGGAAGTGTAGGGTATAGACATGTGTTTGAGCCACACCCTGATTGGATCATGTCTTCACGCGACGCATCCGCCTGCTTGGTATAGGCGTCGAAGACTGTGGAGCCCTCCTGACGATTTTGATAGAGCAGCAACGGGTCCGAACGGAAAGGACGCCGAAGACCACGGGAACATGAGCATATAGGGCGACCTGGACGGCGTTCCGACCTTGTGGACGGAACGCAGAAGAAGACAAAACATAGGAAAAACGCTCTCTCCCTATTTAAGAATCCAACCCATGTATGGATATATATATATACAGCATATGTATAGAACAATCAACAAGTATTCCCTGGGCTGTCCAGGCCTGTCCTTTGCTAAGGGTTTAACCTTGAGTGGTTAAGTCAGAAATCCCTTCTAAAACCAAAGGACTAAGGGTCTGGTTGAGTACGCGTTCTGCGGACAGTCTCGAGTTCCCCAAAAAGAGGCTTCACACAGATTCACGCCACAGGCAAAAGCATGCAAAACCCAATTAAGGCCATTCACTTGTCCCCTCAAAAGAAAAACACATACAGTGATTACTAGATCTTGACAGGTCACCCCCTACACCCTACACTTGTCCCATCTTGTCCCCTCAAAAGAAAAACACCATCACTAAATGCCCTCAATTCCACACCAATCCCCTGCCTTCGACCCGACCTCCGCTCGCACCACACGTCCTGTTGCCCGCGCTTCCGCGCGTGAAACAACAACGCCCGGCTTGCGCGCCTCGTCGGACTCGGCATCCGGGTCTTTAGTGGGAGCATCCTGGGCTGGGCGAAGCCGAAGGAAGCCACAGAGGAAACACCTGGAAGACCTATAAAAACCCTACAGGGATCCAGTCGTACTTCTGTGTGGCTGCAACACATCCCTTTTTGCGGGATCCAGTGGTACCTGGTCAGGTACGGTGAGGAAGGAGACACTGTGATGTAGGTGGGTCCAAGTAAGTACCCTCTGAGAAGGTCTGTGGAGCACTAGGGGTAGCTATTTGCCCAAGATTCGTAGGTATGCTGTGTTTTGACGAAAGGGATCTTCCAACAGCCAACTGACATAGGCATGTAAGAATATGAAATATGTTCAATCACCTTCAGCAAATGTCAAATGTTTTCATGTTTTTTGTTTTAAAGTTAGCTATACTGTGTCATGTTATATTTAATTACATTCGACATGTCAGTCAACGCTTCAAGATCGTGGAGTGCGCACCACTGAACCCAGTTGACGAACCGCCCCACAGGAACCCTCCTGCACCAGGATTCGGCGGGGTGGAGGACCTCGGGACCTCAGGATCTGCACGACGTCAAAACCCCTTCCTCCGACGCCCAGCGGAGTTGATCTGACCTGCTGGGACCGGCTGGTTCGAGGGGCACCTGATCTGACCCAAATCTCGTCAGATCGAGCGGCGACCAAGACTGGCAGCTCAAACTTCCCGGTGTCCTGGCGCTTGTGGGTTTGTGGCTTGTTGTTCTTACTTCTACTCGATGGGTTTCGTCCTGAGGAGCATTGCACATGGCCCATATGTCAGCATGGGACTCTTGCGGAGCTGTGGTGCTGTCAATGAGGGTGGGACAATTCAATTAATTGACTACTTGAGGGGGTTGAAAGCTAGCTGCATCTAATCACATGGTCTTTTTCAACGGATAGGGTATGCGCAGCATGATGTGAAACAGAATAGTCCCAAAACGGATGCTATCAGAACCATTATGCTCCCAAATCAGACACGTCCAAGTCCAAGAGAGGAACTATTTGAACCTACGAAGGGGGGGCGGTCTAGCAGTGGATAATTCAGGGAGATTCCATCCCCCAACCAATGCTAAAAGCAAAGAGTTAACTTTCGATACAGCCCGCTCACGCGAGCTAAGAACCCCCTGGCCATGCGCGGTCCTTCATGTAGAGTTTCTTCCACACGCCCGTCTCCGCGACCTGATCGCAGCTGACGACAGCACGACGAAGCCAAGTCATTGCAATGAGTCTGGGTCGGTCTAAGTATCCTTCCCGTCAGACCTATGGCGAGCTGCACGAGCCAGAGGTCTGATTTCAAGGACTAATTGTTTACCAGTTTTTTTGTTTTGAAACGTTTATAATTTATGAACTGGGTTTATGTGTTTGTTTGCTAAATAATCCAAGGATGTCCTTTTAAAAAAACTGTTTATGATCTTAAAAAATAGGGTATGTATGGGCATAAGCCCGCGTGTGCAAAGACTTGTTGCTTGACCTGTCACTGACTGTTGGGGGCTTCGATGTTCGGAAGTAAAGACAAGTCCCCAGGAGTCAAAGAGCTCGGAATACTTTCTGGTCCCATCCAGGGGCTGTGGATGTGACAAGGGCACCGGGCACCTGGACCTATCCTCTTCCGAACCTTCGGAACCGGCACCCCGTCTGAGTCCACGTGACTCCTGAACTCTGAGTATCTAACCATATAAGGGCAAAGGCCCGGCACATAGTTTGATAAGAGACAAAATCATCGACCCCAGGCTTGCTACGCAGCGAAGCCAAGGGGCGCGAAGCCCAAAATCAAAACAGAAGCATTGATCGCTGCAATGGAGGAGAGAGCCAAAGTAGCCAAGATCCCCCACATAAGGAGATGAGTGAGATGAGTGTCACGTTGCGTATATATGTGTGCATAAGTCTTGCTCTTGCAGACGCAAGTCGCTGTGCAAGTCGAATATCTGTCCTTCCAAGTCTGCCTGTCTGACCTCCACTCACAGCTCCAGGACGTCGCCACAGTTTTGCTGTTCGAAGACTCTCAGTGATGGGCCGGTTGAAAAACCTCTCCCGCGAAACCAAAAACCAATCCAAACGCCACGACGCCGCGACCCGCCCCCTCCAACCCCGAACAGACCCGTTTTGCCGCGACCCGCCCCCCTCCAACCCGGGCCGCCCGGGCGGAGGAGCGCAACATCACCACGCGCGGCTGGTTGAAGAGGTTCGAGGCTTTGGGACTCTGGGCGCCTGGCGGTGCAGGCTTTAGAAGGTGGCATGTGGAAGTCATGCGGTAGCATGTGAGCGGTGTTCAAAATTGTGTTGTCTTTTCTTGCCGAGAAATTTAAAAAAAAAAAAAACTTACGGTAGGCCTTACGCAAGGCTTACGTTTTTCTCTGTTTTGCTTACGGTGACACATGTAATTATACGCATGGCGATTCTTACGTCGCTTACGGCGGAGGTATGCAAGTCCACTGACTGTGGTCACATGTGGTATGTTGTTGCAAGACAGGAAAGGAAACAGAATCAAAGTAAACAAGTTCCGCTTCCGTTAGCCTTTTAGCCTTACGGCACCGTTAAAATCTGCACATCCTTACGGCTATTACGGACACCTTACAAACAACAGCTAAAATCACTGTTTTTATATAACTGATGTTTCGCCGGTCCCTGACTAAAAAATAAGGTGAATTTAGAACGCTGCTCATGTGGAAGCTCCTGTGGCTTTTAGGCTTCTGGAGCTGAAGCGTCAGGAAGCACCCCGTAACAAGACCTCTTCATCTGCACACCAGTGGTTGGGTGGGGGGTCCCTGTGCTTTTGGCAATGCCTTCTTCTTTCATCTTCTTTCCAGGTTCTAGAGAACTGACGAACTGGATCAGTTCTTTCTCTTAAAGGAAAAGGACACTTCTCGTGCTCATCAGGGGTCTTTGAGGTCAAAGGATTTAGAGATCCCATCAGCTATAAGTGCTAGCAAAGGAATCCCAGCTTAAGTGCACAATGGATCCTTTGGGCCTTTGGCATTGGCTATTGGCTATTGGGCATTTGGCATCCTTTGCCCAGCTTAAAGTGCACAATTCGGGTTGGGCATCCCAAAGGCCAAAGGATGCCAAAGGCAAAGGAAAGTGCAACAAGGTAATATATAGACTTATATAGTGGCACTACCAGGACACCCGGACAATCCGGGGCTTCCATTGATAGCCCCGAAAATAGAGGTGTTTCGGGGTGTCCATCAACCACCCCCAAGCGCGTGGGTCCTGGCCGTGATCCCGACTTGGAAACGCCCACGCAGCTCCATCCATCCATCCCGGTCGCCCGCCCGAAGCCTTCCACCCCTGGGACACAGCCACCGCCAGCACCGCGCCTCGGAGGGTGACTTTCATCCTCGGCAGGGAGGTGTAAATGCCTCGGACCCGGGCCCCGGTGCCTCGCACGAGCGGCGCGCGGGCGGCGCGGCGGCGCGGCGCGCGCCTCGCGGCGAGAGCTTCGCGCGTGACGAGCCATGCGTCGAAGCCCAAAGGATCAACGACAGAGCTGGGTGGTGGTGGCCGGTCATGTTCCGGGACCCATTTGGGGGTGGTTGATGGACACCCCCAAAAACCTCTAAAAAGGGGCTATATGGAAGCCCCGGACCTTCCGGGTGTCCTGGAACAAATCATTATCTATACCAGCACCCTTTAACAGGTCTCCGAAATGGAGGCTTTTGCTGACTTCAAAGTCGCAGGTGGTGACCTGTGAAGTCGGGTGCTCGTATGGCTTTGCCGTGGCAACGAGAAAAAAGTTGCCGCCCCCCGAAACTGTGCCGTAAATGGTCCTCCAGCCATGGTGACACCGTTGCGACCGCGGGGGGTCTGTGCTGTCACATGGCTTTCACCTGCGGGTGTAGCGGGGCGTGGCTGAAGAGGTTCTGGACAGTTCTCGCACTGCCAGAGGTTGAAGGACCCTATACTATCTATACTATAGCCTATCCCAGTTCGGTACCCCAGGTGACCGGTCCCAGCTCAGGTCACTTATATAACCTCTCTTGGTGGACCCGTGGTGTACGATCAAGCCACTGAAGTTCGGGAGTTGGGATGCTCTCCGACTGGATAGGCACGAGCCGAGCCGCACCCCCCACATGCGCCGAGGGAGGCTCCGATGGGGTCATCGGTCCGATGGAGTCAAAGACTATCAAAAGAATGGTCTCTAGGTGAGCCGAAAAAGAATATATGCTTTACTTCAGTTGGTCAAAATATAGTCGAACTGGACTTCTAGGGGAAGTCTCTTCCAACCAAGACCTTCCGCCTCTTCGGGACCCCACATCTTCCAAGAGAGGTTATATAAGTGACCTGAACTGGGACCTGTCGTTCGGAGTACCGAACTGGGATAGGCTATAGTATCGGGTCCTTCAAGCTCTGTTGGTTGTTCTTTAAACGCTTCGGCATCACAGAAGGCACCCACGAAAACACAACGACAGAAGTCCAGTACCCCTGGGCACGCCGGGCGTGTGGGACTGGCTTCTTCGTCCAAGCTGATGTCCATGTCGCTGCCCACGGGGTTGGGGTCGTACTTGCACTGCGGACCTCAGTTCGTGGCTCGGACGACTGCCGCTCCGTGCAGGTTCCCGTTCGGATCCACTGCGGTGAACGTGAACAGGCTTCATGATGCTTCATGGTGCTTAATGAATGCATGCATGATAAAAAAATACGTACCGTAAATACCAGGACAATCCGGGACACCCGGACGGTCCGGGGCTTCCATTGATAGCCCCGAAAATCGAGGTGTTTCGGGGTGTCCATCAACCACCAGCACGTGGGTCCTGGTCGGAGCCCAGGCTTCACCCGGCATGGAGAGAGTTGGAGACCTCCCCACCTGTGCAGATCCGGTGCAGGCACAAACATAGTCCACCTCTCTCAGGTGGTCTTCGGTTTCCAAGAAATCCGGCCACGGCTGCCCTGATCTGCCCTGTTTGCGCCGCCTCTGATTGAACTCCTCCCTTGGCCCAAAAAGGCCGCCTACATGCCGCACCCCGTCAGAACGCACCCTAACAAGCGGAACCAAAAAGGGTCCACCGGCACCATTCCAGGCCAGCGAGCCGCTCGCTTCAGCGGCTCGCTGGTAAGCAGGAAAGGACATATTCTCTACCAGGGCCCCCGACAGTTCCAGTGCTGAAAGGCATTGGGCGATGTCATGCACCCTCCGTCTTCATCGGCACCCTCCATGCACTCCTGCGGACAGGTCGTCCCCGCCGGCCACCCAACTCAGAACTCTGCTTGAGACCTACGGCCCCCCGCTCCAGTCAGGGGGTGTCCAATTATAGGTCCTGATCGAGGTTAAGAGATGGATGTCCATGAAAACCACTCCAAACAGGGGCCCTGGTATGAGACCATTGTCAAACCCATGAGACCATCCTTAGTCCACCTATACCACCTTGCCAGGACTTCCTATGACTCATCGTGCCACCAAAACACAAGTAGTACCAGCACACTCCAACAGGTCACCACCTGCGACTTTTAAGTCAGCAAAAGCCTCCAGAGCAGACCTATTGGAGGGTGCTGGTAGATAGTAGATAGTGATGATAGCTGTAGTAGTCCGTCATATTGTGATAGTTACCACTGTCAAAGAGGCTCCAGATATCAGTCCAGGCCGACCCTGGGCGCCCCTCCAATATCGACCTGTCTGACCCGCTCGCTGCCCCGAAGTCGTTCCGAGGATCGCCCGGCTGACGGCCGAGGCGTCGAAAGCGGACCTGCAGGTCGATGGTGCCCTGGAAGTCCGCCGTGGTATGAAGCCCTGCCACGCTGTTGGACGTCACGTCGATGCCTCGGCCATGCGGATCACTGCGCTGCGCGGAATGGTCATATGGCGGCGACGGCTGGAGGTGGAGGGACCGGAGAAGTGCCAGGCAAAAGACGAAGCATCCGCAGTGGGGAATTTGGGAAATGTCTGAGGCAAAACAAAAGAATTGCTATCTACAATAGCCATCCAGTGGTATATATGAGGGTGTGGGTGTGTATATCACTCGCTATATCTCCCCTGCTGGCATTCCTCCATCCACCTCTACCATTTCGACCATCGCCCTCTTGAAGTCGCCTCCCTCCTAGAAAAAAACAAAGAACGCAGCAACCAAACTCAGCACCGCGCCCAAGAAAAGAACCTGAACCCTGAACTAACCCCGAAGATGTCCCGAAAACGAACCCCGAAGGCGCCCTGCGGGAGAAGAGGAGGGGTGTACCCCCCTCTCCGGTCTCCATCCACTCTCCATCCACTCCACTCTCCGCGGTCCTCCCGCGGCTTCTCTCTCGCCGAGCGGCGGTTGTCGCTGCCGCAGCCCGGGAGCCGCGCGGCGCTGATCGTGGCGCCGCAGGACCAGCCGCAGACGCCCCCCACGGAGCCGCAGAAGGTGCCCACCTGGTCCATGGTCCTCGGGCGGACGTGGACGTGGCGGACGTGGACGTGGAGGCGTTGAGGTGTGCGGGATCCGAAGCAACGGGAGATTCTTTGGAGGAGACACACTGTTTCATCGTGTTTCATCGTGTCAAAAGGATGAACGTCCGAAGGTTTGCCCATCCACATCGATTATCCACGGGCCAAGACGAAGAAGCACTGCGAGCTCTGTAACTCCTGGGGGTTGAAGCCACCTCCCGAGTACTAACACTAAAACCAGTTGAGCTCTGACTAGAACCAGTACTAAAACTAAAACTAGTTGAGCTTTTCCTGCGGGTTGCATGTTCCTTGGCTAAACCAGTTGAAGCCACCTCTGAGCTAAGACCCTTACCCGCGCCTATAGAAATCCAAGAGTCGGAGAATCAGAGTCTTATTACCAGGACCCCATGGTTTTCATGGACATCCCGAATCACCTGAATGGAGCTATCATTGGACACCCCTTACTGTAGGGGGCCCTGGTATTGATTATTTATGATTGCATAATAGACGCATAATCATAGATGCTATAGATATACCATCAGAATCCATCAGAATTGTGTCCAAGAATACGAAGAATCCAAGAGTCTCACCCTTTTCATCTTCCTTTTCCAACTCCTCACGTCAAAAGCGCTCATTCCTCGGTCTCTCCTGACGTCAGACTGCGGTCTCTGGTCGAACGACGGCCACGGTCTCCGCCGAGGCGCAGGGTGTCGGTGTCGATGAGCTTTTGGAAATGATCGGGTAACCAGGTGACGCACGCGAGAATGTAGACGCCACCCAAGACCTAGCAGGGCTGCTAGGTGGATTGCAGGGATGATGAGTCAAAAGCAGGTGGATTGCAGGAAGTTCAAAGGTTCAATCTCCCACTCAGTGAGGATGGAGCGTGGGTTTACCTTTTATTAGGGCCTTAGAATTTGGAAGAAGGGAAGCCATGGATGGAACCCCCCCTCGAAATAACAATTCACCTGCATGATGCATGATAATGCTTCGGTGATTCTTCCTCTGTGAGGAAGGGAAGGATGGGCCAAAATGACACTGATCAACCTTCCGGCCCAGTGTCAAACCTTCCGTCAACCACTGCACACTTGCAGCACACGTGTCACCAAAGCCTTGGGCCTTGTCTCCAAAGGCGACCTGGTCTTCGACACTCAGCGACCTGGTCACACACCATGTTGTCCCCAAGACCTACATATCTCCAAAAGCACCCTGACACCACTCAACCCCCCGGTGCTTCCATGTCTTTCATGACGACCCACATGGCGTCCTCTGCTGCGCAGAGAGCGCTCGAGCGCCTCGTCCACGCTCTGGGGCTTGGCTGGCGGCTTGGTGCAGGCCTCACGAGGTGGGTCGTGGGATCCTCTCCATTTCAGAACGTGACTTGGGGAGCAGCGGGGCTTCAAAATCTCACACAAATAGTTATCGCTCCCTTTTTGAGAAACTTCAATGACTTGGTCATTCCATTTCAGTGGTCTTTCCACTTCAGTGACTTGGGGAGCAGCGTGGGGCTTCAAGATGCTTCAAGATCTCTATGGTTACTCTCCAATAAGAAACTTCCATTGGGTGTCACGCACACCCCCACCCCAGTCATGCGCCTTCCCTCCGAGAAAAAAGGTGTCAAGGGCGCTCACCCCCTAGAGATCGACCAGAAAAAGCACCCAGCAAGCGTCCGCAGCTAGTGACGGTAGGAACTGTAAGCGTCCGCAGCTAGTCACGGTAGGGCCGGACTCAGACCCTGTTCGATGTGATGGTGGGTTTTATGTGTTTCTTCGGCTGAACATTGGGGTAAGACTTCCCAGTGCGTGGCCTTCCATGAGTTCGAAGGTCATGACATGTCATCGCCCTCAAGGCTGCCTCGAAATTAGTTCTGAGTATATTTAAGATTATATAATCAAGTAATTAGACCTGCCAAGAGACAATCAGATACAGATTCAGATACCCTGATGAAACAACCCAACAACATGCGCCTCCCCGTGACCCGCCCCCCCTGCGTGACTCGGCGCTTCCCTGCGTGGCTCGGCGCTTCCCTCGTGACGGAAGACGCGCGCGGAGGTTGGTCTGAAGAAACCCATCCGCCTGGGTGACAAAGAGGTAATTCCCGTCCGCCTCCTGAGGCATGGGGCGGCCCTGCATGGCCATGCATGCACCTAGTGCCACTGAGTGACCCCGTTCTCTGGTAGGATCAAGAATGCAAAAATTGGCCAAACTTCCGAGCAACACGGAGGTCAAATGGGTACTAGGCATATATAGATCTAACACATGATAGCACAAATCTGCCAGACAAGTTCGAAGAGCGTAGTCCCAAAAAGGGCTCAAAGTGGGTTCTGCCGTGAGTGACACACATGGCCAGGCTGTCCAATCGAAACAGTCAACCAAGTACTTTGTGGACTGAAAAGGTCTGAAGACCAAAAACCGCTGCGTCCCTTTTGCCGCTGCGTGCTCGAGCCTCAAAACTGTGCATTTGGTGATTTGGCCGCTGCTCGAGCCGGTGATTTGGCCGCTGCTCGAGCCTCAAAACTGTGCATTTGGTGATTTGGCCGCTGCTCGAGCCGGTGATTTGGCCGCTGCTCGAGCCTCAAAACTGTGCATTTGGTGATTTGGCCGCTGCTCGAGCCTCAAAAGTGGACATTTGGTGAATAGGGGCAATCAGTAAAGTGTCCTACATGATTTCCTACAAGACACGCGCGTGCATTGAGATATGCACCATCTGACGCAGAATTCGGGTATCCGAGGAGGCACTTGATGTAATGGTGCTTGGCAAAATCCCTGGCCGTGATGGGCTCGCAATCCGTCGGGCTTCTCCACTTGGCTTTTTCTTTGACATCAGGAGGCTGGTGCACAGCGGTGATGTTTGCGCTGCACATCACCTTCGTCGAAATGACCACGTTGTTGTCCAACCAATCAGCCAACACCAACTCTTCCTGGATACGGAAGGAAACATGTCTCCAGAAAAGGGAAGTCAAGACCAGCATCTGGCTAGCACGAGTGTGTGCATGGCATGTGTGAACACAAAACCTCCTAAAGTTGAAAAGAAAACAACAATTTCTGCGAACGGATGGAAAGGTGTGCCCTGGCCCCGTTCTAGCTCTTAGGTCAACATGAAGCTCGCGCGCTAAAGCTCCTTTTTACCTGGTTGGGCACTTGAGCCAAAAGTATATGGCATGTACCTGTATAGCGACTATACTGGGACCCCATCCCTATTGACACCCCCCACATCCGTACTTCGACGGGGAAGGGAGATGAGTGGATGTAAAAACCGGAGAACGAATCACGTTCTCAAAAGTGTATTGGAGGTCAACCAGTATGTCCTATTGAATTGAATTAGCAAAAGATCTTGCATTCGCTTGAAAGTTGGATCAAACAGGCAATGGAGCTACAAGCGGAAAACGTGCACCTACCTATGGTATCATGCGATTACCAACGGTGTGAGACACAATCCTATCTCGCTCCCATGATGCCAAAACGGTCATCATGAATTACCCGCGATCCCTCAGTACTTGAAGTACCGGAAGTAGCATGTCGGTATGACCCCAATGTTCAACCATTCGTGAGTTGTCGCATGTAGTCAGCGCCGACAAAGCCAATGTAGTCCTTGATGAGCTCAACGTTCCTTGGATTTCCCGCTCGGATCTGCTCCTCGAAGGACTTCAATTTCCTTTCTTGGATATCGGATACCTCTATGCCATAGTAGCGGCATGCAACGAGGATCTCCTTCGTGACATTCTTCCTCTCCGATTTGATGGCGGGACTAATGTCGATGAATTTGTATGGAGCGGCACTTTCGTCATCTGGTTTCTGGTAGTAACTATATCGGCTCGCTCCGAAGGTCTTCTTGATCATGCGTCTGATGAAATTTGAGATGAATGCCAATTTCTCGATGATCTCATCCTGGGTCTCAGACTTTCGAGCCTTTGGATCACTCATGCTGCGCTGAGTGCTGCCGACCTCTTTGAGGTACTTGTGGCTAAGCCCGCAGCGGATTGCAGTGATCATCATCGGATGAACAACATTGGCGTGGAATTCATAGATCTGCCACGCTTCTGCTGCCAACACGTCGTCGGTCCATCTGCTCATACCTACGACCTCGGCTCTCTTGAGACGTCTTGGAAACCCAGTATCCGGATCTTTCGGTACTATTGGCCATCTATTGTGCGGAGTGTCATGCCGCTGTCCATCGTCGAACATTCGCAGTACATCTTCACGACTCTCAAAGCAGTTGATGTCGAACGTTGCGTTGGCCAAGCCCTTGATCAACTTCATCAACCTCAGATCAAATTGCTGTGTGACGGCAAAGTTGTGGTCGATGGGGATCGCAGCTTCTTGCGGCAATTCGTCAATTGCGAAGGGGAAAGGCTTCGGAAGTTCATTCCCGTATCCATCTTGAGGGACCTCCCGATACTCGGGTTCGCCTTCAGTTTCGTCCGGTCGTTCCTTCAAAATGATAGGAACTTCCTCCTCTTCCTCTCCTTCGGATTCCTCGATCTCAATGACCTCTTCGGCTGTCTTGCGTGCGTTCTTGATGACTTCATCGATGTTTGCACCTGCAGCAGAAGTTGTTTCACCGGAAGAACTGGCTGGGACATCTTTCGGTGGTGATCGTTGATTGCGGTCCCTTGTCTCCTTGGGTACCACATGTGTGAGCTTTCCATTCGCGATCAAAACCGCTACGCAGTGCGGACATATCGTCAATCGCACATCGACTTCGCCAAGACAGTTAGGACACGGTCTTGAGTCATAGTCTTTCATCGCTCGGCGGTACACGATCTCCTCGAAGAGTTCCTGCCACTCGGTGCTATCATATTCTGGGTAAACACCACTCTCCTCGATCGTACCCAACAGCTTTGAGATTTTGGCGTCGTCCTCGGAGTAGGTATCGTCCTGAACCTCAACCGCTAAACTCTCAAGCTTTTGAAAGCGTGGAATCATGATCGGGTTTCCGTATTTGGACTCCAGAACAAGGTAGCTTCCAGGGTCGGGTTCCCCATTGAGTAACCGGATCCATTCGATCTCCTCAGGCTGTCCGGGTTCCGCATTGAAATTGTCGCATTGCAACCATGCCCCTTTAACCTCATCGAAGGGAACGACGTTCTCAACCAATAGAGAGCCAGTCGCTGAGATGAGAAGTCCGTACTCCTGCAGCTTCCACACCGGAATGTAGAGAACCACTGGGCGATCACTCAATGCGACCTTACGACCCAGCCAAGGTTTACCCTTGTAGCCCTGCTCCCAGGCCCATGGCGGAAAACATGTGAAGTGGATAGAATCCCTTCCCGATGAGCCGAGACCTCCCGGCACTAGCCCTCGTCGCATGATTGAAGTCAGCGCTCCGAGATTGGTAGCGTGAAATGCAGTCATCATAGATAGGGCCATGTCGTTGGTCATTCTCGACCCAATGTGGTCGATGTCAATGGTGACGTCATAACCTCCGCCGTCCGTTGAGTGTGCCGAGGTTGCTCTTACAGCCACGGGAAAGCACCATCCATCGCTATGGTGGAGTCTTCCTTTAGAGATTCCCATGTCCTTGAGTTCGTTAATCCATTCCTTCTCCATCGGGTCATCAGGCTCATTGAGTTCATCAGGGTGAACGCGGACCGCCAACATTTGGAATCTGACCCTCTTGGTTATGCGGAAACACTCATAGTTCTGGTCGAAGTACTTCTCCAAACGCGCCTTCTTGGTCACGATATCTATGTTGCCGTAGTGATAACCGTCTTCCCAAACTGCATTATCACCTAACAGGTCTTCCCATGACACCCATGCGCCTTCATCGCATTTGATTGGTGCGAGTCTTCCTCCTGTCCTGAACTGGCGTCCAATTCGATGTCTCAACTTCGCTCCCAATCGTCGACTCAGGGCCTGGCTCGCTTGGCTGTATTCAGGTACTCGACAGTCTGGAGTCGGATACTTGTGGTTGCCGTAGTCGGAGTTCTTTGCAGCGAAAGTGACTCCGTTGATCGGTACTAGTTCAACTTTCCCGACCATCGTCATGGGGTCGATCGGCTTGTATCCCTTCTCCCTCCGTGTTGGTAGGGGATAGAAGTGATGACATGCCTTTGGTGTGAGGGAACTGGAGTGCACAAATGCCTTCTCTACAAATTCGTACACCACTTTCATATCCTTAGGGCCTGCTTCCGTAAGCTTCCGCCCATTGTAGGAATGTGGCCCTCCCTCGACTCCATCAGCACTTTCGATCAAGGTGAATCCGTCATGGTCGAACATTGTCACGACTCTTGCTTTTAACATTTCTTTTCGCCTGAACTCGCTGTCGACCTTCCTATCTGGAGTGGGCGATGCTCTCTGCTTCTTCTTCTTAGGCTCCTCGGTTGGATGTCCAGATGGTACATCGTCGGGCGCAACCTCTCCCTTCACTCTCTTCTTCCAATCACTCAATACCGAGGTGACTGAAGGTGAAGATGAAAGGGTCTTCTTGCAATTGAGAGTTGTGTGTCCCGACTCCATGCAGTGGATGCAGAATTCTGCCTGCCCGATCTTCCTCTCAAATTCGTCGATGGCTTGCAGTATTGATGTCTTCGGGTCGGACATGTCAACATCTTGCTCCTCCTTCTCCTGTCCACATTCAGTCTCCATATCGACACCTTCGGCCTCGGGCTGGTCAGTGGCTTCTGTTCCCTGTTCTGGTTCTTTCCCAATTTCGAAGAAGTGGTCGATGTCGAATTCAGGAAGCGGCATAGTCCTCATGCGAACGAGAATCAGCGCCACGTTTGCCGCCTCATCAGAGTGCGGGTCCATGGTTCTAATCATCGATCGCTTTCGGTTCTCATACGTTGTCCTGTCGTACAGCGATGCAGTGACGCGTTTGATGGATTCCTCTAATCCCGTCCTCAAAGCTTCGATGTCACCCCATCCCCTGAACAGGTGCCTGAAGAGTTGAGCAATTTCGAACATGCCCAGCAGCGCTTCCACCATGTCACCTACCCGTTCCTCCGTGGGATCATCTCCGAATATAGTGCGGAATACATCGGGTTCCAGTATGGTCTTGAGGTATTTGGTGTAGCATACGTTGCCAAGGTCATAGGATCCCTGGAAGTACTTGGCGTTGCCGATTATCTGCTTTTCCACATGGATGCTGGGTCCTCTCCTCGTTTTGAAGAAGTTCTCCGTCATTGTTGATGACAACCTGATCCCCCCCGAAGAACGAAATCTCCTTCTGGAAACCTGGATTCTCATTGAAGATGATCATCGCCTCGTGTAAAAACTTCATCAAGTCATCGTGCGGGTTCATCTCGGAGATTACGATGGTGGGAGAAGATACCGTTTGCCCCATGCCGAAGTTGTGAAGCAATCGAGCACATGCATGAAATCGCTTCTGGACGTAGTCTTCTGCGGACATCCCACGGCATCTGTTTGCTGCTCCGTTGATGCATTCCGCATAGCAATCGTCTTTCAACTCGGAGTCTATGGGATTGCAGAACAGGCAGTAATCGCAGCAAATTTCCTCACCCTCCTTAAAGTCATCAATGACGTACCACCTTTGAGTCCTTGAGTATATTGGTTCTGGCTGAAGGACTCCCCAGTACTCATCCATCCATGGCATCTTGTTCTCTCTCCTTACCTTCTCCCTCTTCCTCCTCTCAGACTCATTCTCACCTGAAGGCTCCGCAGTGGACTGATAAGCATGGCTTCCTCTCACGGAATCTCCGAACAAGTACTGATACAACCTCTCTTTGTCCTGCAACACGTGTTCCAAGTTGGGATCATGGAGGCTATTCGCTTCGGTCAAGGGATCCGGTGCCATAAAGCAAGAAGCGAGCATCTTTTCTCTGAACAAGTACTTTTCCATGACAGCGTGGACCAAAGAGGTTCCAGACTTCATAGAGTATAGGGGTGACCGCTTCCGGCGACCGAAATGGCTCGCCAGAATCTGTCCGACGTTGTGGACATCATGCCATTCAGCGACAGC